AGGCTTTTTTTTTCAAACCTAACTCTTCTAAGTTTTATTATAAAAACATACTCAGAGTTAGCTTAACAATCTCTATTCGATGATGACGAGAAACGATTTTTACTCAGTTTCTCGAATAGTTGATGGTTTAGATTGTAAAACAAAATTTCTATTTAAATTTTTTAGTTTGTTTGCATATTCTTCATGTATTGATTTAAATGATGCTTTACAAATTTTTAATAGATTTGCTTATTCGTCATGTACAAATAATTGATATGCCAAAACGTTTATTAGAATTATGTTCATATCATTCATGGTGGCCTGAATTTTTTAAAGAATGTTTTCAACGTTATTTTCTTTCAAATTATATATTCATAACTGATCAACAACAATCATTATTTATAAATCTTGTTGATTTATGTGAACAAAGATTATTAACAATAAATTCTTCAAATGAAACAACTATTTATTATAATCGTTTATTAGCTATTCAATATATATTATTTATTATTAAATAGAAATAATAATTATCAATTAATTGAATGGTTATTATTATTTATATGTCGTTTATCAGAATAAAATTTATTTCCATATTCATATGAATAAACAAATAAAAAAAGAAATTTTTCACAATTAATTAATAAACATTGGCAATTTTGACATAGATCATCTATAATACAAACTCCACATATAACAAATTCAGCAAATAATTATCCTAGAAAATTACGTAAAGAAACATTATTAAAAAAATCAAAATTATCATCATCATCAACAACATCAATAACAAGACAAACACAAATACAAACATCAACAATAATTATATCACCAACAAATTCAATTTATTATTATTGTTATTATTCATTAGTTTTTGATGAACATAAAAAAAAAAAAAAAACATTATCCAGCATTTAAAAAATCTAATAATAATAATACACAAGAAATTTTTGTACAATTTCAAAATAATAAAACATCTAAACAAGATATATTATATCCAACAATAGAAGATTTTTTAATAGTTTTAAATCAATCATCATCATATCAACAACAACAACAAAGATCAATAATAAATAATTTAA